CGAGTTGCTCTTGAGTTCTGGCCCTCGTCATCATCTTCTGTTCTTATTTTGTAGCACCTCCAATGTTATCCGCATCAGGAAATTGCGTTTTACGTATTTGAGAGCGCAATTAAAGGACTTGGCAAAGTGCCAAGGAGCCGCACGCGACACGCGCGCTTGCAACGGATGTTATGAAGGACGGGAATCTGCGCCGCAAAAAGGTGTAAGGCGGAGCATGGAGGAACTAGCGTGTTTCACGGTCCTGTATCTCCATTCCTGGGCATGTTTGGGCGGGGGGACCACGACACATCGACAGCTGGGGGGCTGATAGTCTCATACACCCTCAATGTGTGTACCTATGTATCTGTGAGCGTACTATGTGTCTTTAAAAGAGTCCAGTTTGGAAGCGCTCACAAAAGCTACACTCTGCCTGGCAAGCAATATCCTCCCTTAAAACGTCATAGGCGTTGGCTTCCTCGGCCACGGCTGAGTGGACCTACATGAACTCATATCGAAAAATATCTCGATCTCCGAGGTACTTTTAAACTTTGAAAATTTCTACAAAGTCAATTTCTACAGTCATGTCATACCATCTGCAAAAACCTCGGAGGGCATTTTCCACTGATCAGGGGTGAAAACATTCGAAATGTTTTTGGTCTTTTTCTAGAACACTTTAATCAAAGTGTCGCAGGACTCTCCGTCCAACGCTACGTGCGCTACAGGCTCCTGTACATCTTCGTCCTCTCTAGCGTCACAGTCGCTCAAATAGACGGCGACCCGGAATGCGAACACGATATTCCCATGAGAAATGACTGTAGTGTTACTTCTTGATGTCCTAGGCAACCTTTGGTTCGGAATTTGTGCGAATTTGGGGGTTTCTTGTGCCTTACATACATGATGAAAATAGGGGTGACCAGGTCAAAAACCTGCACAACTCTGCTCAGAGAATCGTTTAGCAGATATGGAATGCAGATTTGTAATCAGCTTCCAAAAAGCGCATCAGATGGTATACATCTCATCTCGAACGGCCACTTCGACCAAACATCGTTTCCTGGTGAGACGGATAGGTTCTCTTTCGAAGAAGATCGAGGCAGACTGAGTTGGATTTTTCGACGACTGGGGTGATTCATGAGATGATTCTTCAACGAGAGTTGCATCTCCAGACTTTTATTGATGTTTCTTTCGCGAAGTCTATGTCTTATGTTGAGTTGAATAGGAACTTTGGGTTTGTAGGGGTTTGGAACAGCTACACAACGGCTCTCTGGAAAATGCCATCGCTGCCGGATCGGAACAGGAAAAATTCAAGTTTCAGAGGAATGTGGCACAATGTTTTCTGCCGCATTTGATTTGCTGGGAATACTCCTCTCTGATGCAGACCAAGTGGATTTGTGGTGTATAATGACAACGACTGACAGACACAACGAATGACGCGGTTTGAGGTTCCTAGAAGAATCTGATGGAAAGGCGCTGGAAAAAGGTGCAGCGATTTCCTATCGCACGGCTGCACGGTGACGTGGATTTGTTCAGTCGAAGTAGTACAACAGTAGATCGAACCGCTGCATCGTCACACTGACAGCTTCGAAATGCCGAATTATGTTGCACATGTTTCACCTTCTTGCCATTCCCGAACCAAAGAGGATTTTGAATATTTCTGAGCAAGAATTGTCAAGAGCTAGTGCATAAGTGGAGCCTCATAATAGACTCTAAAGTGTTTCTCGTCAGAGTGAGCATACTTGTAACAGCCCAGAACATCGGTCGCCATAATAGCCCACGTTCACTAAAATGTGATGCTTTGGGTTCATGGAATCAATTTCTGGGAACAACATCGCCGAGGGATAAAAACGAAAATGTTGATTGCCGATATGTAATAATGAAACGGGGCCACAATGAATGAATTATTCGAAATTAACTTCTGGATGAATACGTGGACAATCTGACAG